GTGTGTGTGTGTGCGTGTGTGTGTGTGTGTGTGTGCGTGCGTGCGTGTGTGCGTTCGCGCGCGTGTGTGTGCGTGCGTGTGTGTGTGTGCGTGCGTGCGCGCGTGCGTGCGTACGTGCGTGCGTGCGCGCGTGCGCGTGTGTGTGTGCGTGCGTGTGTGCGTGTGTGCGTGTGTAATATAATGAGATGAACAAGGCAGGAGCGGAAATACAGTTTATAGGCGACGTGAGCACACGTATAACACTCGGCGATGACTGCCTGCAATGACGAATTATACATGAAGCTAAAGTCTTACTAGAGCAGGAAGCAAGCTAATGCAAACCTGTGTTAGGGAATGTCCCTACGAGCTAGCATATGCGACTTGCGCTTAAGACATCCATGATGTACGCACATATAACGAATATTATTAGTAACAAATAGAGCAGGTTTTGGAACGCTCCGATGCATTTAATAACATTCTAAGCGTCGATAGATGGCGACAGCAGGTCAGCTAGATCAACGGGTAAGCGAGAGCATAATGTCATACGGGGAACACATACATGATTGGTAAAAATATAAATGGGAAAAAATGTTGTAAAAATGTAAATTAATTATATGCTCTGACGCAGGTACTCGGGGTTTGTTACCTGACATTTACTCACTTGCCATACGATTTCTATTGCGCTCAACGTATGCCATGTCTCAAATTCTTGAAGAACATATTCCGTCATGTAGGTCACATAATATTATATTACGTTACGATATTTTCTTGCTTGCGTAAGAGGATTAACTGTTCCACATTATACGACGTGAAATAAAGTAGCATAATATAATGGTAAACGGGGCTGAAAACTGATTCTTACCGTTAGCGAAATTCTGCGTGCTCAACCATATAATCCAAGTGATCTTTATTTACCGCGTTACGAACGATAAAATATTGTTATGGCTCATATTGTGAAAAGTCTATAAATTCATCCCATACTCGCTATAAGGACTATTAATCTTGAAATTTTACAAAACAAGGTTGAGTTTATTGCTCATACAAACATGAATGAATAAAACATCGGTTAGAACGCCTGGGGGGTATTTTCAACGTCGACTCTGTACAAGGCAGACGCAAGCCGCCATTTTTCTTACGTTATTAAAATATAAACTAGATAATTACTGCGGTGGTCTAGTGGAGGGTTCTCCAAGCTTTTTCATTATAGCATGGGGGTGCTGCCTTTACGGTCCTAGTTGCAAATCGCCGAAGGCGGTTTGCGTGCTAGGGGGGTCTGGGGGCTATGATATTTAGCACGGCGGCTATGATATTTAGAGTGGCGGGTGCATTTTAGGATGGCGGGGCTCGACGATAGCCTGGCGGGCCGCCAGGCTATAAGTGCTCTTGGAGAACCCTGGTCTAGTGAATAGCGCATTTCACTTCGGTCTTGAAGGTCTGGGGTTCGAGATTCTTAAAAAATAAACACGCCTCCGAAAATGATTTCAAACGCAATCGTTTCTCTTTGATCGTTTCTCAGCGTTAAGAGAGGTCGGTGAAATGCTGACTCTACTTGAATAAGCCATTCGCTCTGCCACACAGGTAGCGTCTATTACTGATGATATTGTCGCCACAGGTTCGTGGGTGTGGCGGAAGCGAAGGGTTGCACGGGGTGAGGATCGAGCAATAGCACGTAAGCTCATGAAACGCCCCCTCTCTCTATGTCTCTCTCTCTCTGTATGTCTCTCTTTCTGTGTGTGTGTGTGTGTGTGTGTGTGTGTGTGTGTGTGTCTCTCTCTCTCTCTCTCTCTCTCTCTCTCTCTCTCTCTCTCCCCCCCCCC